ATGGATCAGGGATTTCTGGATGAATAACAGAATCCTGGCTCCATATATTGGCCTGCAGATGTGCATGTAATATACTGTCTGCTGGTATAAGGCTCCTGCAGTTGGTGGCAGCTTATCTACCCCTTGATTGTTTGGCAGAGTTTTGAATCTTTTCCATCGTAAAATTGAGGCGTTTTGCAGATACTTTCTTCGTTCAGAGAAGACTACACAAAAACTCCTTGCATCCTATTCTCACATTAAATGATCCCAAGCTTGGCCAAAGCATGTAAACATGAGGTGGGGATTTCATAAACATCTTAAGGGCTGTTTTTTTCCAACACCATTTATATGCCCTGTAATAATCAGGCTTGTGTCCAGGGGGGGTTTTATGGTTCGGGAGAACCCCCCTTTTCTAGCAAACCTCCCTCTTTTCTGGCGAACCCCCCTCTTCAGATTTCCCAAATAAGTCCTCCAACCCATCTGGTGCACTGCAGACCCACCCAGACAAAGACCTTTTCAAACATATCTGCTTTTATAGCAGTATTTAGACCCTTAAAGCACAAAAATCCCAATCCCCTTGCTTTGGGGGTTTCGCCGACCCTTGCTTTGGGGGTTTGTCCCACCGGGGCTTCGACCGTGGACCTCACGCCCAGAAAACCCCCCTTGAAAGAACCTGGCTACGGGCCTGAAAATATTTATCACAACCGGTGATAGCATGGAAGCCTGGTAGTGTCACTACTCTTTCTGGTCCAAGATGATCGTATATTGGCTGAAGAGCCACTCTTCTCCTGGTTTCAGCGGTATCTGTCACAATTCACACGGCAAGATGTCAAAACCAAAACTCCAGAGCATCCTCCTACAACAGCTGTAAGCACACAAGAAGAAGCTGATACTCTAATGATTCCCCATGGCATAGAAGTGGCTCTGAATCTGGAAATGATACAGACTGGTTTGTATTGATCTTCAGAAGACTTCCACAGCTTGGCATGAATACTGGAATTTGTGTAGTCTTCTCGGAACGAAGAAAGTATCTGCTAAAGATGCCTCAACTTTACGATGGGAAAGATTCAAAACTCTGCCAAACAATCAAGGTGTAGATAAGCTGCCACCAACTGCAGGAGCCTTATATCAGCATATATTGCGTGTACATCTGCAAGCCAATATATGGAGCCAGGATACTGTTATTCATCCATAAATCCCTGATCCATGCAAACTGGGCTGGGTTATGGAAGATGGTAAATTGAGACCTGTCTTGTCAGAAAAGCAGGCTGCCCCTGAAGCAGTTGCTGAGCTTATCAGATGTACCTGTTCAATATGTACATGTTCAAATAGTACATGCACGTGTAGGAGAAATAATCTTCAGTGTACCGAGATGTGTAACTGCGAAGCAGAAGGGAGTTTCTGCAACAACTTTCCATTGTTGTCGAGTGTTTCTGATTCATCAGACACACTCGACAACAATGTTTCTGATTCATCAGACAGTGATAG